TGAGCCCTCAAATGTATTCTTTTTCAAACTCTTTTGGATTTCCTAGGTTCTTTCACACTTTCATACAAATTTAGAATCAGTTTAATTCTAAGTTTCCATTAATTTTTTGATGACAAAATATGGCTACTGGGATTTTAGTTGGGACTGAGGAATCTATAAAACAATTTCTGGGGAATGAACAATACTGAGTCTTGTGATCCATTAATATGACATCTCTCTCCCTCTGCTGGAGGCTTTAATAACAGCCATGTTGGTAGTTTTCAGTATATAGTTCTTGCACGCCTTTCATTAAATTTATTTTAAGTATTTGGTGTTTTTGCTACTATTGCCAATAATATAGTTTTGAATTTGTTTTAATTTTTAATTTGTTGCCAAGATGTAAACATCTGATTATTTTTGTATATTACCCTTATAGTTGTAGCATTTTTATGTGTCGTATTTTTACTAACTGCCACGTCATGTTTTTTGATTTTTATTTCGGTTACTTAGAGGTTTGTTGCTTAATTTCCACACATTTTAAAAGTTCTAGTTTTATTTTTGGTAAAGATTTCTAGTTTAGTTCATTGGTGTTAGAGAACATATTCTAATTTAAATCTTGTAAAATAAATTGAGACTTGCTTTAACTCAATAGAATACTTATTTTAGAGAATGTCCATGTCTGCTTGAAAAGAATATGTATACTACAGATGGTGGTTATAGAGTTTTATATACATCATGTAAGTAAATTTGGCTATTAGAGCTGTTTAAATATGCTATAACCTTTCTGATTTTTTGGCCTACTTGTCCTAAAAGTTAACTGAGAGAGATCTGTTAAACATCTCTCAGTAATTTGTCCAACTGTGATTGTGGATTTATTTCTGTTAGTTTTTGTTTCATATACTTTGAAGTTACAGAGGTGTCTTCCTAATGAATTCATCCTTTCTATTTTATCATTATGACATGTTTATCTTTCGCTTGGGTAATATTCCCGTCTTGCAATTTACTTCTTGCGATTAATGTAGCCACACTAGTTTCTTTCTTATGGTTAGTGTTTCAGTGATGTATCTTTTCCAACCATTTATTTTAAGTTTATCCTAGTTTTTATAGTCAAAATATCTCTGGCAAGTAGCATATAATTGGGTCATGTTTGTTTTAAAATCCAGTCTGACACTGTTTTTTTTTTTATTATTTCACATAATTATTGGTATAGTTGGGATTATATCTTCCCCCTTGCTCTTTGTTCTGTATTTATCCCATCTACTCATTGTTTCTTTATTGCTTCCTTCCTTTATTCTTTTGGAAAAATCAATTATTTTTATTATACTGTTTTATCTTTCCTATTGGATTTTACTTATATTATATATAAATCATATTGTAGCATAATATGATTTTTTTTCTCAAAAGAAATCGCCATATGCATCCTTTAATCTTAATAGTCTGCCCTGAGTTGGTATTTTACCACTTTATAGACCACATAAGGACCATAACAGTGGAGTTTCATTTAGTGCCTCCTTCCAGACTTTGTGCTATTATTATATTTTTTACTTCTATATAGGTTGCAAACCTCAAAATATATTGTTAGTGTTGTCTAAGCAGTCGGTGGTCTTAGTTTTCTGAGTAGCATTTTATATTTACTCTCACATTTTTCCTTTCTGTGTTCTGCGTCCCATTGCGCAGATTCATGCTTCTGACAAGAGCCATCTTCCTTTAGTTTTTGTTTGAAGAAACTAAAGGAAGTATTTCATATTCTTTGTAGCATGAGTGTGGTGGGGATGAATTCTCTCTCTCTCGTTTTTTCCTGAAATTGTCTTTTATTTTGCCTTTATTTTAAATGGTGGTTTAACTGTGTACAGAATTCTGTCTTGGCAGGATTTTTATCCCACCCCATCTGTATGTAATATGTTTTTTTCTGCCTGCTTTCTTCTTTATTTTCAGAATTTTGACTTTGATGTGTCTCTGGGTGGTTTTCTTTGTATTTCCCCTGTGCATAATTTTCTCAGACTCTTAAAGCTGTGAATTCATCTCTTTCAGTGGTTTTGGAAAATCCTCCTTTGTTATTCCTTCAGATGTGGTTGCTGCATGATTTTGTATATTGTCTCTTTATGGGGCTCTAGTTATGTGTGTTAGATCATGGGACAGCATCTCACATACAGCTGACCCTCTGTATCCACAGGTTCTGCATCTGTGGATTCAACCAACAGTGGATTGAAAATATTTAGGAAAAAATTTCGAGGAAGTTCCAAAAAGCAAAACTTGAATTTGCCATGCTCCAGCAACTACTTACATAGCATTTACATTGTATTTACAACTATATGCATGGCATTGACATTGTATAAGGTATTATAAGTAATCTAGAGATGATTTAAAATATACAGGAGGATGTATGTAGGTTAGATGCAAATTCAGCATTCTACATGAGGGACTTGAGCATCCTCAGATTTTGGTATCTGCAGGAGGTCCTGGAACCAATCCCCCGTGTATATTGAAGGACAACTGTGTCTTTGATGCTTTTTTCTGTTTTTCCTTTCTTTTTCTCTCTGTGCTTCAAACTGGGTAATTTTCATTGACATTCCTCCCATGTCTAGTCTGCAAGTAAGCCTGTTCAATCACTTCTTAATTTTAGATTGTATTTTTTAAACCAAGTATGTCCATTTGGCTTTTTAAATTCTGTTTCTTTGTTAAAATTCTGCATCTTTCATTCACTTTGTTCATTTTTTTCATCAATTTTATTTAACATGTATATAATAGTTATTTAAAAAAATCCTTGTTTGTTAATTTTAACATCTGAATCATTTATGGACTTGCTTTGATTGATAGTTTTTTCCTTTTGATTAGGGGTTATGTTTTTCTGTTACTTTTGAATGTCCTCTAATTTGTATTTGTTTGAAAGGCATTGTTCATAAAAATCATAAAAATTGAACTGTTACTATTTTGTCCGAAAGAAGGCATATCTTTCTTCTTTTAGGGTGCTAGGGTGAGGGGCTAATCACTTTGAGCTAAAGAAAAAGTTGAACAAAAGCAAGAATCAGCAAGTGGGACTACATCAAACTTAAAAGCTGCTGCACACCAAAAGAAACACTCAACAAAATGAAAAGGGAACCTACAGAATGGGAGAAAATCTTTGCAAACCATGCATAGGATAAAGGGTTAATATCCAGAATACATAAAGAGCTCATACAACTCAATAACACACAAAAAAACAACTTGACTGAAAAATGAGCAAAGCGACTAAATAGACATTTTTTCAAAGAAGACATCCCAGTGGCCCACAGGTACACGAAAAGATGCTCAACATCGCTAACCAGAGAAACGCAAGTCAAAACCACAGTGAGATACCACCTCACACTTGTTAGAATGGCTGTCATCAAGAAGACAAGAGGTAGCAAGTATTGGCAAGGATGTGGAGAAAAGGGAACTCTTGTATGCTGTTGGTGCGAATGTAATTTGTTCAACGATTAAGGAAAACAGTATGAAGGTTCCTCAAAAAATTAACAATAGATCTACCATATGATCCAGCAATTCCATTTCTGCTTATATACCCAAAGGAAATGGAAGCAGGGTATCAGAGAGATAAATGCACTCCCATGTTTGTTGCAGCAGTATTCACAGTAACCAAATTATGGAAAAAATCTAAGTGCCCGTCAATGGATGAATTGATAAAGAGGATGTGGTATATATATATATAAATGGAATATTATTCAGCCACAAGAAAGAAGGAAATCCTGCCATTTGTGATAACATGGATGGACCTTGAGGACATTATGCTGAGTGAGATAAGTCATAAAGAGAAAGACAAATACCGTACGATATCACTTATAGGTGGAATCTATAAAAGTCAAACTCATAAAAACAGTAGAATGGTGGTTACCAGGGCTGGGGGGTAGGGGAATAGGAGAGAGATTGTTTAAGGGTACAATCTTGTAACTAGTGGTAAGTAAGTCCCAGAGATCTAATGCACAGTGTAGTGACTATTGAAAGCAATATTGTATTGTAATCGTCAAAGGTATTACTAGTTACTTATTTTGATCACAAAAAAGAAATAATAATTATGTCATGTGATAGAGGAGCTAATTATTGCTAAAATGGCAATCATGTTAAATATGTAAATGTATTAGATCAGCATGTTGTACACTTTCAGTTTATACATTGTTATGTCAAATACATTTCAATTAAAAAATGTCAGAAAGAAACATTGAACTGGGCTCAGGCTGGGCTGTATTAGTTTGCTTGAGTTTATCTCTGGTTTCAAATGCCTTCAGGGTGAAATCTATTTAGTGTCTATTACAGGTCTCATTCTCCATTGGTGTTTAAGAACTTTAAGAGCACAGAGAAGTATTTCTGGTTTTCCGTCCATGCCTCTAGTCTCCTACTGCACTACACACTCAGCTAAAATTGCTATTGGAGAGATCCGCCAGGTGAAGAGAACCAGCACTGTGGGGCTCCTCTAGATGGCACACTGGCCCACGTGACCTTTGGAAACTCTGCTGGATTCTCTTTATCCCTGCAGGATCTCTCTGCTGTTACAGACCCGATCTCTGCTCATCTGTGTCCAGGCTTGACAAAGGACCTCAAAGTAGAAAGTGGCCACTTATCTCTGGTCACTTAAGGAGAACCTTTCCCTCTGTTTAATTCCCTGTACATTACTTTTATCCACACTGTTCTGATGTCTTAAAAATATGATTGTTTAGTTTGGAATCTTGTTTTAGCTATTATGATGAAAGTCTATTGTCTATTATGACTTTCTTTCTCCTGAACAGAATTCCTTACTTTTTAACTATCTTGTGCTGCTGTCTTTGGAATTAATTGTAGGATTACTATCTAATCAAAACTTTATAGCGAGAGTCTTTCATATTTTAATAGCTAAATCTTCTTAGATTGGGATGAAGAGTAACTTATTTTACAAATTTCCATTGCACAGTGAGATTTCTAGTTTCTTTAAAACTCTTCTTTAAAGAGACACAGATGTAAATCATAAACATACAAATGGAGATGTGACATTTTTGTAGGATGAATAGATAGATAACTCAGCAAAGCAGCTAACTATACCTCTTTTATTATTACCGCTATCTCCCTATTGCTCTGGTGTGCGCAACATTCACTTGGATATATATGTTTTTTAACTTTACCCTTTGACTTCAAAGTGACTCTTGAAGAGCATGAGAGAAGATGTTAGACCTCTAGAATGAAAACCTTATGTTGAGTTCTAAAGATACTCTTGTACAATAGTTAAAATTTTGGAAGTTTCATTAAATTGTGCCTGTTAACTAAATACTAACATCAAATTGTTCTAAATGAAACTGTTAGGCTGATCAGTTTTCTGTCTGAGGTTGTAATATTATTTTACAGAAATCAATGTGGAAATGACTGATGAAATTGTGGTCTTGAAAAATTAAAGTGAACTTTTAGAAATTTTAAAGTAATAGGCAAATGTATTGAACTATTCTAAAATTTTAATTGTATACTAGAACATAAGGGTATATTTGTTTATGATAATTAATACATAATAGATTTCAGCTAAGTATTATTTTTGCCAAATTTCAGTGAAAATTTCTTCAAGAAAGCTTGCCATGACCCTTTATTTCTCATTTGATCTGAGCAATCTTTGCTAAATAGCTTTAGGAATCCTCTTTGTACACTGTTTTATGGAGCTTAATGAACTTGGGAAGATTCTGGGGTCCATTAGTGATCATGATTTTAATACTTTTTTTAAGGAGGAAGATATTTTGGATCTTCTGGAACAATGTGAAATTGATGATGAAAAGTTGATGGGCAAAACTGCCAAGCCTCGAGGACCAAAGGTGCGGCACCTCTCCCTTCCTTAACATCAGAGTAGACTCTACTAAGACCAGCTGATTTTCTCTTCGTATTTCTCACTAGAAGAACGGCTTGATGCCGCTTGCAAGGAGCTTTGTGGACTGCGTTTCCCGTGAAGACAGAGTTGGGAAGATGATATTATACTCAGGAGAATTTTTGACTTGTTTCCTTAGTTTTCCTCATTTTTTGACTCTTTCCCTAATCTAATGAAAGCTCTGTGAGTCAGGGCCAAGCAGGACCTAGAACCAGGCCCCTTATTCTATACTCAGTATTAATTTTCCCTCCTATCTCTAGACAGATATCAGAGACATGGAGCATTATAGATAAGGCACATCATGACTCCAGAGATCCTCACGGGGACCCCATCTTTTGCTGGCCCAGCAATATTGAAATTGTGTTTTATTAAATAGTTGCAGTTTCTAGGAATAAATAGAAAGCTATCATTCTGGCAAAAATAAGCAGGTGTTTGCTTTACCTTCATCGGCTCTGTGGTGGTGACGTCCACATGGTCTTTTATTTTATGTCAGAGTCCTTGTTAGTAGAGGAGGAAAGAGTTGAGTTTGTGAAATCTTGGAAACTTCCTTCATTCTGTCTTTTTTCACTTTACTTTCAGCAATACTAAGCTCTCACTATGTCCTTACATTATGCTCTGTCACGTTTTCATGCTGTTTCTTTATACCTGGAATACCTGCCTTTAAAAAAAAAATCATTGATTTGTTGCTTGATTGGTGAGGCCTCCTCCTAATCCAGCTGGACCACTGCTGCCTTTGTGAAATCTTCCCTCACTGCCCTCGTTAGATCCCCTCGTTCTCTTGCTGTACCTCAAATGGCACGTTTATAGAGCAGCTGTGACAAATAGTTGTTTGCTTGTTTGCCTTGGTATGAGCGCATAAGTTCCTTGAGGATGGGAGGTGTATTTCGTCTTTACCTGTCTAGCACCGCGCGCAGCATCTGGCACTTAGATTCTCAAAACCATTAGTTAAACTTGTTGAAGGTGTCCACAAAGACCTCACTGACTTGTGGAAGAACAAATAGGTAAACCAAAAACCAGGCAGTACTGTGGCAAGTGCTGTAATTAAGGAGTCAGTGGAAAACACTACAGCAGCATAGAGAAGAAAGGGCTTGGCAGACTATGGATGGCTTCATAAAGGAAGTGCCATTTGAGTTGGGTCTTGAAAAGTGGGTAGTGCTCTAAACATTTGAGAAGGGTGGAAGGTCATTTGGGGTAGAGGGAACATTAAAGGCAAAGACATGGAGGTGTGGCACTGCATAGGGTGCTGGGGAATCAGCAGGGAATTTGGTAGGACTCAGGTGGAAGATTCTCAGAGAGTAAAGTGGTGCAGGAGGAGTCTGGTGAAGGATGCATACCTGGGGAAGGCCAGAGGCTGGATGTCAGGCATGGTTCTTCTAAGTTACGTGTTCTTTATTAAAGAATTATGGAAGATGATAATTCCTTTGGAACAGATGTGTTTTTAGAATATCTGTCAAAGTGAATACCTTCATGGGCCATTGCTTCACTCTGGAAAACACTGACAAGTTCCTAAACTTTGTAAATTGATCATTGCAATTTGGCAAATCAGATGTGAGACAACCTGAAAGCACAGTATTCATGGCAGATTGGCAAATGCCAAGGCTCTGAGTCAGCCTTCTGCTGTCTTATAGTTTCCTTTGCTTCATTAAATAAGGCTTATCTCCTAAACAGTAATACAACCCCCTAGAGCGCAGAATTCACACTGTGTGTTTCTTTCAACTCCTCTTATTCCAGGCAAATACTAGTAACTAGCAGTGTGTTTGTTGAAATGAGTTGGTTACTTCCTGTAGCTGTTAACGCCAGAAATATTTCAAAGTGGTTGAAAGCTGCATAATCAGTCTGAAGGAAAAGTACTTTTTATAACTTTTAACTTTATATGCACTGAGGGTTCGGATTGAGCGAAACTTGAAAGCAGCCTTTCCTTTTCAGAGGGATGCCATCCCACGCCAAACACTGATTTCCAGTGTCTTTCCTGGTAGGAGAATGATTGAAGGCGATCAAGGTTAAATGGACTTGTGCTGGGAAAAATAATAACTTTCACTTATTTGAGAATCCAAGAAATACTCATTAGCTACATAAATAATAAATATCACATGAAGTATTAGCATTGTTTTTTTTTTCAGCTGCAGTAGGTACATTGGTATTTGTTTTGTTATTCTTTATACTGTTTATATATTTTTAATATACAACCCAGTTCATGAGAAAGTCGAACATAAAAATAAATTGTGTGGTTTGTTTTATAACAACTCCCGCTTACAAATTCTGTTTTGCAGTTAAGTTACTATTTGCAGTTTATGCTGCTGTGACTCCTTATTAATTATTGTTTGACCAGTGTATCAGTTAACAAGTCCCAAATGCATATATGACAACAAAGGTTCAGCACTCCATTTCCCTTTGTGATTCTTTATAGGATCGAATAACTCATTATGTAGTCAAGCTCCTTAAGGAACTTGAAAGCTGTTTGCCTACACGAAGGAGGGCACTGCTAGCAAGCCTGATTGTGCCACAGTTTCTTCTGGGTATGCTAGGCTTCTGAAGAAACAGCCTTCCTCTAGAATTCAAATTCCCCAAGACTATCAAAATGTTTGATGATTGTGTTACTGGTAAATGTTTTTTATGCATATCTCTTTGAACATTGTTAGTGCTCAGTAAATATTAGACTATCAAAAGGAGAATGTACTTTTAAACACAAGTTGGTACCTTAGTGTATTACTATTCCTCTCTGGTGATTTTTCGTCGTTTGCTAAGGCAGTAAGTTTAAGGATATCATGCTTTGGCTTACTATGTATTCCAGGCACTTCAAGAGATGCTGTTTCTGTCTTTATCTTTCATCCTCCACTGCCACATGAGAGGAGATACCTTATTTCAGTGAAATCTCAGCATAACCAAGGATTTCATTATGGTGTGTGCTAACGTCAAAACATTTTTGTTTGATTTAACAGAGAACAAGAAACTAGTATACAACTGCAGGCACCTTTCCCAGCAGAAATAAGAGGCATATGGTGTGTGTAAGAAATAGTCTCTTAAAATGACTGAGTTACCACTGTCTTGTTCATGGTTGTACACATTCTCTCGGAAGCGAAGATGTCCCACTGCCCTTGTCTTTTATTCCTTCAGCTGGCATCACTGGAGGCACACTGATTGGGGGATTCGGAGACAAGTGATTCTAATGGGTTTATCGGAACTTGATAGTGTGGCAATTTGAATCTTTACAGATTTATCTTTCTGTATGGCATCTATCCTCTGAAAAATTTATGCTGTACTGATTGTTACATTGTGTTCCTTTTTTTTTTTAAATGTAGTGTAGGCAGTGAAGAGCAGTGCTGCTCCACTATGGCCAGGCCCTACATGTCAGAGTTAGGAATCCTCCAAGAAACCGTATGACTTTATGCATAACCAATTGGGAAAGTGGATGATTAATTAAAATTTTTTATTTTAAAAAATGTCCGTGGTGAAAACAAACATGGGAGGAATACCTTCCTGCTGCATATTATCTGAGTAATAGGATAGGCTCGTAGGGTCTGTCTTAAGGTGTGATCTGCTTTACTTACAGTGGATTATTTTACTTATAGTGGTTTATCTGGCTGCTCTTTTTTTTTTTTTTTGCCTCTCTCACCCCTCCCTCCTGCCCTCTCCTTTCTCGCTCGCTCTCTCACAAGCACGTACACACACATACACATTTATCGAGTGACCTTGGACATGAATGATACAGCAAAGGAACATCTCCGCGTCTTGACGAGTAATGGACTCGTTACTCTGTATGGAATGAAGAAACACTGATCATCTTTGATTTGTATATTTTGACCTCCCGTATTTTTTCTTAGTTTTTTTTATTCTTTGTGGATACTTTTGGTCCTTCTGCATCATGCAGAAACAGCATTTTCCTCATCAGGATGGAACGATGTTATTTAAGAAAGACTGTTTCGGAGAAACAGAACAATGAGTGAGTGGTATCATTGCATTACATTGGGGGATTTTTCAGGCGTCAGTGAAAAAGCAGTAATCGTAAGTGGGAAGTTAAATATAGTAACTAATAAGCTTTACTAAGCCTTTTTGAACTCTGACAGAATCCCACCTTTCCCCCCATCTTAGCCTCTGTCTGCCATGCCCGAGAGCTCCGAGATCATGAAAAGGCAGAAATACAGCAGCAGTGACAGCAGCCCCGGGAGCGGCAGCAGCTCCTCGGAGTCGGAGGACAGCGAGGAAGACGAGCACCGGAATAAGAAAAAAGAAAAGCAGGTCACCTATAACCTTAAACAGCCCAACCACTACAAATTAATCCAACAGTCCAGTAAGTTAATTTCTTCTAATTTAGTTGTTACATGAAGAATTACAGAACTGAAATGACTCAATAAAAAGACCTTGGGCCAAATGAACCCTTGTGTGTGCGGAGAGCTGGATTCTGCCCCACTTCCTTCCTAGCCAGACCTCGACCGGGTCTGGATGCCGCGACCCCTTTCGGGGGCTGCACAACAGAAAACAAAAGAGTCGAATTAAGGCTGTCTGGAGTCCAGTGCTCTCTCTGGAGTCCCTGAGTCCTGGAGTCAGGGCTTCTGGTGCACGGGAAGGGTTCAGGGGAGGAACCTACCCGCTTCTCTGTCTCCTGTTCCTGCTTCCTTTTGGCTGTCTTTCTTTTCACATCTCTCCCTTCCATTCTCCTGTCTTTCACTCCTTCTTTGGTCCGAAATGTCCTCTCTTGTGTCTGTGATTCTTCTTTCATCCCTGAATGTCCAGTGCGGTTTTCCCGTTGCCCGGGCTCAGTTGGATACCCCGTCCCGATGCTGCCTCCAGTGCAGGACTTTCTTAACCCCCGTCTCTCATCTTTGCTTGCCTCGTCCTCCGTTGTCCTAGGGCTCCACAAAAGGGACCCGTTCAGTCCCGCAGTAACACACTTGGGAGCCTTTGTCTGTCTATCTCCAGCAATGGTTTAATGTGTTAGTTTCCTGAAGATGTCAGGATAATGTTGGAAACCCGGCCTTCCAAACTGATGGGAAAATGCGCAAGGAATGTAGAACCAATAGACGAAGATCTTTGGTCTTTCTTTTCCTTCCAAATTATTCCATGAAGATACATGCTACCCTGTCTTTGAGGGTTTTATGTGTTTGTAAGTGAAATAATGTATTATGTTCCATTTCATTCATTTACTCACTGAAGTTTATCGAGCACCTGCTCCGCAGTTTGTGAGCTGTTTTATCCATTACCTCATTTTTTCTTAAAGACTCCTTCCTACTTTCAATGTATCTCTGTGTAACTTTAACTCTATTTCTCTTTTGCAAGATGACATTGTTCTGCCCAGGTTTTGTCAGTTTTTGAGCCCCTTTCCCATTGGTTAATATGTGCATCCTTAACAGCTTAACAGAACTGACCAGGGTTACGGGTAGGGGTGAGGAGAAGCTGTGAGGGTTCCGAAAGCTCTGAGATGATTCTTTGTTCTCAAACCAATTGGTTAATAAATTGAGATCAGACAAATAACATACTAAAGATGTTTTTAAGTATAAATTCATACTTTAAAGCTAGCCCAATTCAATTGATATCTTTTTCCTTATAGCTTTTTTGGACATTCGGAATTGCAACAAGGGTTTCAATTTGTTTTATATTCTCTCCTTAATCTTACGCTAAGGAATATTATAGCCAAAAACCGTCCTTGAGTTTTCTCTCCAAAGGGGTGTTGATAACTGAAGACAAGATCCGGAATGTGTATACCACCTTCTGTCATAAATAATCAACCTAGGAAATCTAAGCTCGTTACAGCACCAAGGGATATATTTTGGTTTGATATGTGGTAGTCCTATGCAAAACTGTACGGGGTATTTTTTCTCAGATAATTTGTGTATGCACGTTTCAACCATTTTTGGGTTAGTCTACCTCAATATCATTGGCATGTCTAGATATTAAGTTATTCTATCTGAGTTTCCAGCATGCGGGGGAAAAAAAAGGGACTCTGTGGTGACTCAAGAGAAAGGATGTTTTCTTCTGCAGCTGCGATCAGGTTACAAAGTCCAAACCCATCCCGCCCCCGTAAGCCCTGGAAGAGAGCAGGGCGCAGGTGTGGTTGTAGCACGTGCTTTGCGGTATCTTCTTGTAGAAGACTGACCAGTGGTATGTTCCGCACACCACCCTTTTTAGAAGCACCGTCCTTTCAAAAAATAGTGTGACTTTCAGTTTCAGAAGGAAGTTAATTAGTTGAAACGAATGGAAGTTTTTTTTTTTTAAACATCTTTTATAGCCTGAATGAGTATACATTTTCATACTCTGCAGAACCAAATGAGGACTACTAGGCTTATCCATCAGTTCAGAATATCCATCAGTTCAGAAAGAGATCCCTAAAAGTTAAGATTCATGCCCACTGCCGTTATGAAGGTTTAAATTTTTTCAGCAGCTAATTTGGGTATTCAACCTGCCTTCATGTGAGTTTCATTAAATTATTTAATTACTGAAGATTGATTTATTTCCCAAGCAGAGAGAGAATATATAACAGAGGGTATATAAAATATATGAGCTCGAAAAGATATAAAAGTTGATACTATTGAGTGATATTCTATTTCTCTGTGTCAGGAGTCAAAATTTACCTGGAATAGTAGATTCTCTTTTTAAAACGTTCTCAATATGCAGTGGAGAAGATAGTCTGCAGTTTTCTTTAGTTTTTCTGATAACAACTCTTTAGATCTAAACAGTTTTTCTTCATGTAAATCTTTTACTATGGGAAATTGAACCTAATTGTTTAATTTTTCTGTCCTGTGAATAAGATTTATCTGTTTAGTACTACTTTTTTAAAAAGCAATGATATATTTTAACTCCATTAGTATAGTGTTTGGTTTTCTTCTGTTTTATTATTTTTTTCTCATGGCCCTAGATTTTTATAACATCCATTCATTCTGGTTATTTTATAAACTTTTATCCATTTTCCTCTCTGAATCCTGCTGTAAAATATTTTATTTCTAACCTATGGACAGATTCTAATAAATGATCAGGATAATCTAAAGATAGTAGATGGCATCATGACATTATAGAAGAGGGGAAGCACCGGGATTAAGTCGGGATATACATCTGAGCTTGGCCACGTTCTTGTCATGTGACCTTGAGAAAGTTCTTTCTCTGAGCCTCCAGCGCGATGGAGTTCACACTCCAGAAGGTGTCTGTGAGAATGAAGATAAAAGCGTAGCACCCAGCATGATGCCTGGTTTCTAGAATGTGCTCCATACATGTTAGTTTTCCTTTCTTCATGTCCTTTTGTATCACATTTCAAGACTAGGACATTAAAGTGCTATTTAAGTAGTATTCTCACCGTAGCCCCTCTTCATACGTGATAGGCGTTCTGCACCAACTTCACTGTTTAAATTGAAGAAGTGACCCCCATCTCATATCCCCATGCTGCTGTCTCTGCTTTCACATGTATTGCCACCCCGCTCGTCGTTAGACTGCATAGACCCACCTCAGTGGGGAACTTCTCCTAACTCTGCTGCTGTGCGACCCCTCTTCCTCACCATCCGTAGGCTCCATAAGGCGCTCGGTCAGTTGCCCTCGGTCCATCTCTTCCCCGTCGCCATCCAGTGCGGACAACCGCCCCTTTTCTGCTCAACAGATGATATCAGCGTCCCGGCCGACTTCTGCGTCTCGGTCACAATCTTTAAACCGTGCTTCCTCCTACGTGAGGCCTCTGCCTCCGAGTAACGATGGCAGCTCTAACCCTCAGACGGTAAGTCATGTTCGCCCCGCCGAGGTTAGCATGTACTCAGGATTTAGGTGGCAGAGGGACTAGCTTGGGGGAGGACAGATGGAACTTCAGATCCTTTCCAGAATTCAACTTGTGGTCTCCTGGGATCTGGGTTATTCATCCTTCTTCGCCTGTAACTGAGTATGGACTCTTAAAAGGCAGACTTCTTTGTGTCACAGAACTTGAGGTTCAACACTGAGAACAGAATTTTACTTTTTCATTCACTGATGGAGTAGGATAATTTTGTTGATAATCATCTGAGTAAATATGTGGTTTTGCAGTGTCCTGTGCAGTCTGTCAATAAATTTGGAGAATTTGTTGTGTGGAAAATTTTCCTTTAATAGTAGGTTTAAAAAACCAAACCATGGGTAAATTTTCCTCAGAGCACTGACGGGCACCATTGTTTGTAATGTTTTCTGTACATTAAATGAGCATACAGTACTAATTTTGTGTATATATGGTGTTCTCTCTTCAGCATAAATCCCAGAGCTTCAGTGTTGAGGAAGTCAGTGGGCTCATTGCGCAGCCGGGCTTACTTGTAAATTCTCAAACAGACACCTCCATGTACCTTCACGTAGACCAGGGGCTTATTTGCCTTGTTTATTTAATGTGGATGATGCTTCCAAAAGGAAGAGTCTAAAAAATATAAGTGAATGAATTTTACTCGATTACAATGAATTTTTTTTTTAATCAAGAACTGCCTGAGGTATATGTAGAGAATAAAACTGACCAGAAAGTCTTTTTTAAACACTCGTATCTTCATTTCAGTATTTTGAGCTACATGAAATCAGCTGTGTGGAAGTGTGAAAGACACTCTTGGGAAATCATATCCATTTAATTCTAAGAATTTAATGCTAAGAATAAATGTAAAAACATTATTTTCTTCCTTTTTCTATGTTATTATTTTTTCAATTAAAAGTGCATCATTTTTACCTAGAAATATCTTTCAGATTGTAGTGGCACAATGAAATAAGACCCCCTCCAAATATCTGTATTCTTTCAAATTTAAGAGTGAGTCTTTGCGGCAACTGAGAACGAAAGAACAAGAAGACGATCTAACAAGTCAGACCTTATTTGTTCTCAAAGACATGAAGATCCGGATTCCAGGAAAATCAGATGCAGAATCACTACTTCTGATAAAAGATGTGAGTGTTCGATGTACACAAAAATCCCAAGGAGTTCGTACCTTTTTATTCTTCTTAAAAATGTTAAAATTTATTTTCCAATGACATTATTCTCAATGGCATAGTAAACTTAATTAATGTTCTTTCCAACCTCCACAAGCTTTAGAAAATACAGGAGTTGTTTTAATTATTATGATTCATGAGCGGTGAGGTCACATTTATAATCAGCGATGCAAAATATCTTTTAGTGTATAGACCTATTTTAATGATGCGACTGCTTCATCAAGTGAGAATAATTAGTGTTAAATAATTATTGTTCTTAATGATTAAAGACATGTCAAGGTAAGCCTGCTTCTATTCAGATTTAGAAAGATCTAATATGGAATGATAATAAGGGAAATAAGGGGTTTCTGGGCATGAAGTGTCAATAATATTTGACTGTGACACCTTGCATGGTTTTGGTCAGATTTTGAAATGGCTTATGTTGTGTGTGTTTTCTCGTTACACACACATTTGCACCACCCAGTGGAACGTTCTAAAATGGCAAGAGTCTTAAAATCCTCGTTAAAGTCAATGACTGACTTCTAATTTAGAAAAAAGGTCCAAGTTACTCAAATATTTTTGGTGAAAGAGCATTTCTTCACTCAGTGTTCTACTTCTTCATTTAAGCATCCTTTTCAAGTTATCCTTCTTAAGTGACTCCTCAGTTATAGAATGCTGTTTTTAATGGTTTCCCGTTTTTTTGGTTTTTTGTTTTCCCCTCCAGAGGAGAAGGCACCATCTAGTGGCCAGTTGTAGGATTAAAAACCACAGGCATGCATTTGGCTTTTTCACATTTCAGCATTACTTTAGACCTGTCGAAAGCCCTGACAAGAAACAAAACAAACAAGCAAACAATAGTAAAAACACTTTCTCAGTTAAATCGGTAACGGCACATTGTATTTTGTAATCACACTGTCGTCATAACCAAAACTCCCAAATATTATGCATTGTGTTTGTTATATATTTTTTAAAAACAGAGTTTGTTTGCAAGTGAACTGCTTGCTTATTTTGTTTGCAAATGAACTACTATTTGTTACACTGAGGGAAAAGGAAGAAAGATGAACATCAATTGTAAAGCATTATTATGATAGATAAACTTTTATTTACATAACGTTATCTTATTTAAGTAAGGCCAGTGTCTTTGTACCAGACATTTTACTTACATTTCTTGGAGATATAGGTTATAAGCTATCTTTTTGAATCAGGTAGAATAAAAATTAGGTAATCAGAGAGGAGAACTAATATTTGTGGCCACTGTGATCGTTCTATAAAGAACGTGTATATAGGCTTATATAAATAATAAAATATATTCATAATTATGTAAGACACTAGATTATTTATTATATGTTTACTGTGTGTAGCAGACACTTTAATATATTTGTTATAGTGTTTATTACTAGAATATACATTCAAAAATTTTGCAGATTTGCACAAAAATATCCCCAAAACAAGTGGATAATAGAATGCTAGTCATATATAGACTATCTTCTACTGTATTATTCAATATTTTGTTATTATAAATGATGTTGTAAATACAGGTCTTGGAATTAAAATGAAAAATCTGTGTCTTGGGTTTCTTCCCAAACCTTATGTGCCTGAAAACATTTGACTTTCATTTGTTAGCGATTGTGAGAAAGCTTGAAATTCAGATGTCTTCTTTACTTTATGTTAGAAATCTTTGCACATGTCTTTTTATGAACATAGACATCATTTATTGCAAGTAGTAGTATAATGCTTTAATTTCACAAATTAAGAAAATTGACTTCAGCTCTTTCTCTTGTCTTTTTTATTTGTTACTTTTGAGGAAAATTCTGGATTAAATTTCTTACTTTTTCTCCCCCAAAACAGATCATTGATAACTGGAAGTATCATAAAACAAAAGTGGCTTCATATTGGCTCATAAAATTGGACTCTGTAAAACAACGAAAAGTGAGTAATGAGTGCCTGAGAACAGGTTTGCCCTTTCGGTCTATTAAGCCACATGGAAAGCTAGGGTCGTTAAGCTACATTCATAACCAAACCATATACATGCTCATTTGTGCACTCATTTCCTCAGCAAATATTTATTGTGCATTTACTATGTTTCAGGCACCATTTTAGGTTCTGAGGATAAACAAGTGAATTAAGAAAAATTCCATGGTCTCCTAAGGCTTACATCCTTGTTTAGGTGTTAGAGAATAAATGTATAATAGAATGTAAGTTAGTATAAAGTACTGTGTCAGACAATAAATCAGGATAAAATGATTGGGAGAAAGTGATCCAAATGAAATGAGAAAATTACCCTGCAGACGTCTGTGGGTGCAAAGCACTGGGCAGAGGGAGGAGCAGAAGCAGGAGCCCTGAGGCAGGAGTTAGCCTGGCGTGTCCCCGAGCCACAGAAGACAGCATTTATCTCCTCGTTCGCAGGCTAGTTGGTTTGTGCTGCTCAACAGTGAGTGATGTGGTGGTGACAGTTGAGGCTGGATAGATAAGCAGGGGTCAGATCACAACTTTCCAGGCCGTGAAAAGTCTTTGGGTTTTATTCCAAGTGCTGGGGAGCCAGCGGAACACTTTGAGCAGAGGAGCTACCCGGTCTGGTTTATAATTTAAACCATGAGAGCTACTTCTGGAGAATAGAGTTGGGGGAGCGGGATGGGACAGAAGAGAAGCAGAGACCAGCTAGAAGGTTTTTAGAGTAATCGAGGCAAGAGCCAAAGGTTGCTTAGCTAGAGTGGTGACCGCAGGGGTGGATGCTGGGGAAAGAGAGGGCTTTGTTTCCCTGTGGTTGTGTTTTACTGTGATTTTGGTTCTGGGCATGCTGAGCCTGGTGTGCTGATTAGACATGCAGCTGAAGATGTCCAGCGTGTAGTTGTATGTATGAGTTTTTTAGGGCAGGGGCTTTAGGTAAGGTTGTGGGTGGAGGTACAGAATTTAAGAGTCACAAAGAGATTTAAACCTCGGGGCTAGATGAGATTACTTGGGGAGTAAGCGTGTTCAGAAAAGAGAAGAGTTTCAAGGACTGAACCCTGGGCCGCTTCCGTGTGCAGACATCAGAGAGATGGGGCAGGAGGATTAATCTAAGGGCACTGAGGAGGAGCAGTCAGTAAGGTGCGGGAAACCACGAGAACTGGGTGTCCGTGAAACCAAGTAAAGAAATGCTTTTGGGGATGGAGTGATCAACCGGCCAGCTGCCGCTGATGGGAGTTTGAGAGGAGCACCGGGCCCTGCCTGTTGTTTTTGGCAACAAAGAGGGTAGTGGCTACCTGATCATAAGAAGTTCAGGGGAGGGGTGGGGAGTAAAACTTGAGTGGAGTAGGTTCAAGTTCAAAACTTGAGAGGGAAAAAAACATAGCTAGTACTGGCACTTTTCCAAGGAATTTTGCTACAGAGGGAAGGGGAAATGTGCTGATAGCTGGAGAGGGATGTGGGTTAAGGAATGACAAGGTGTGTTTTTTTTTAAGATGAAGATATTTATAGTTGTTTGTTGCTGATGAGAATGATCTTGAAGAGAGGAGTGGCACAGGAAAGAGAGGTGACAGAGTGAGCCGGGGAGATCTGTCCCAACCAGGAGTGTTTATTCTAGTAGGAGGGAAGGCAGAGTCTATGGCTTTGTGGCGGGAAATGTAAGATTTTCTCCTGATGAGCAGGGGCTTTGGAGATTTGAGGCGACAGTACAAGGTACATGATAGCTATCTCGGAGCAGGAGGGGGAGTGGCCAGCAGCCCGAGGGGCCCATCAGATGCACTGCAGCGTTATTTTGGGGAAGACATACTATTTTAATAGCTTTAGTGAAGTTGTATTCCTTAATAACATGAGTGACAGTAATAATGCCATCACTTCCCCTTTCCAGGGTTTATTACTAATAAGCTGAAAGTTGACTCTGATCAAATGATGACTTTGCAATTATGTACTTTCCTCTGAGTAAACTGAGCTCATACTGAGCATTAACTCATCAACAAAGGACGACTTCGTGTCCTGCCACGCGCCAAACCCTGTGCTGATGCTCAGGACGGTGTAGCAAAGCTGGTAACAGACATAGACTGAGACATACCGTGAGCCCGAATACCTGTTTGCCAGCTCGCTGACTGTGGCCTTGCTTCGTTAAAATAAGGACCTTTTATTAGAATTGGAACCCTGCATTTTTTCAAGTCCATGTACTTTTGTAATCTAGAAGATAGAAGAGTTTAGATAAGTTCCTAATTAAAACAAAGTAGCCCAGAAACAAATTAAAGAATTTATAGGATATTGGGGTGATACAGCTCAGTGGTAGAGCATGTGCTTGGCATGCATGAGGTCCTGGGTTCAATCCCCAGTGCCTCCATTAGGCGGAAAATGAAATTAAAAAAAGTATTTATAAGATATTAATACGTGATAAGTGTGACATTTCAAATCAGTGGAGTAAGCATAATTTTTCTCCTAAATGATATGGAAACAATTGACTACCTATTTGGAAGAAAATTAAGTGGGAGCCAGCCTTATCTCTCACCATAGGGAGCTATAAATTCCAGATAGATTACAGTTTATATGTAAAAAAAGAAAATACTGAAAGTTAAAAAAAAATAAAAAGCTATGTTTATAATCTTAGAATGTGGAAATAGCTTCCTAAGAAAGACTTTGATTTTAGAACCTAGAAATTGTAAAGGAAAAGAATGACAGATTTGATTACATACAAACGTAATGGCTGGCAAGTGACGTCTTAAACTAGGTTAAAATGCAGAGGCGGTGAGGAGAATGGGTGTCAGGGGTGAGGGTGGGGGCGGATGTTGAGGAAGACAGAGGCTTGTGGCACGTAAAACACAAGGTAGCACCGGTAAACCAGCGCGTCCTAAAAGTCGATCAGCAAAAGACAAACTATCCTGTAAATATTAATGAACAAAATGGAAAAGCATATAAAAAAACCATGGAAAGACAATTTACGGATCTTCAACTAGCCAATTAACATGTAAATAGGTCCTTGGCCTCACTAATGATGAAGGAAGAGCAAGTAAAAAGCATCATATTGGCAAAAATTAATGACATAATACCCAGGGACGGAAGCAGTCTGGATAAAAGGCCCCGAATTACACTATTAGAGGGAGAATACATTGGAACAACTCTTTAGAAATAGTTTGCAGCATCCTTTAAAATTACAAAGGTTCCCAACCTTATGACTCAGCAAAACCATTCCATTCTGTCCTACTGAATGATAGTCCGTATAGAACGTTTGTGTAAAAGATTTATGTGCGTGAACATTCATCGCACTGGTATTTATGAAGCAAAACATTCAAAGCAGCCTAAACGTCTGTCAGTAGGTTTATGGTTAAATAAATTATAGTACATCCGGACTATACAGTTGCATTACATTGAATACTATTCTGGAACCATAGCTCTTAACCTGAGATACAGCACAAGATTATGATTTGTGACATAGAAAACATATGCACATTGGTAAAATTAGCCGAACTTTACTAATCACAAGTGAAAGATAGAAGCAAGAGTTGCCACCAATTGCGTGGTTTCTGGGAGACCATGCGTCCCTCACTCTCAGGTGTCCCTTTGCACGTCCCGAAGGCATTCCGGTTCAGAGTGATGAGCCACCTAAGGGTGGTCCACATTGGCACCGAGGGAGCCTTCCAGAATTGGGTCGCCTTCATTTTTATCCTCTGTTAGTCACCCGTGCAGCCCTTGTGACCAATCCATTCTCTCGCCAAGTGAAATAAAAATACCAGGTTTATTTGCTGTGAGTGTTGTCCCACAGAACTTTCTGCAGTGACAGAAATGTTCTTTATCTGTGATGTCCAATACAGTGTTCACTAGCTGCATGTGGCCATTAAGTGAGATCTTGAAGTGTGGCTATTGTGACTAAGGAGCTGAACTTTTTTTCTTTTTTAAC